TGTGTCGAGATTCGCGGAATAATTTCGTTATTACGTAAAACCGCTCGGGCCGTATTATTCGCGACGATGAAACGGATTACCGTATTCGTGCGCCGGCTGTTATCCTTGTTAGCTTTCCTATACTTACGCTGTCTTCGGGACTCGAGAGGTTTTATTCTGCTCTTCTTAATTGATCCGTATAATTACCGATCGCTATCGCGGGCAGCAAGGGACTCGAGAGTAGCGGACGAAAAGGAGGAACACTGGTGGTGTAGGCAAAGCGTAAAACAAGCGTACATACGTCTGAATTACAATTTCAATTTGGCGTATTAGACGGCAACGGGAAGCTGTTCCAGGAAACGGTAAGTTATAATTTGCTCGGATCTTGATCGTGAAATTAAGGCCATCGTTACGCGGAGAGGCAAGAACGGCAGACATAAATACCGAAGATCGCGTCTAATCAGCGCATTGTTTCGCATCGGGGTCTCCTTTTAGCGCGCGCGTCAGCCGACAAGGTAAATGCGCAGAAGACTTTTTAATTCGTGCCTAAACAGTCGCCGGGCTGCTCGGCGAGAAAAGAAAGTCGCCGCCGCGACCACGGATTTCTTCTGCAGGCGGATATTTAAAATGCGAGGAAAGGAAATTGCCCAGGTGAGCTGGCGCGCTCGTTTGAGAACCGGGAAGATGGTAAAATAAAGTAATTGTTGCTATTACCGGGCGGCGATGCTCGTGTTGGTAAATTGCAGGTGTACGTGCATATACATTATGTATAACGCGGCGGCGGTGCAGGTGTAGGTGTGCGCCGAGGATTCTCTCTCTTCGGCGCGGCTTGTGAGAATCCGGGCAATTACGTGGCTTCGCTCGCTACGGAATATCTGGCTTGTTTATAACGAATTAATTTAGATGTCTTAATTGCCATCGGTTAATTGTTGTGGAACGCGGAGCGCGAATATCGCGGCGGATCGTCGCTTCAAAGACACCCGGAATTCGCGAAATGGGATTGCGTTGCTTTCACCGTGTTCCACGCTTCCGCTCCGCGCGATCGTTCATTAAACTCCGCCTGCGTGAGTCACTTTTCGACCAAATATCTCTAACCGGCTGCGCCGCTATTTTTTCCAATCTTCGCTTTTCCCTCTTTCGCGTTTCAACGTTCGCGAAATAACTCGTTAAGGATCGCTCCGGCTATTATTCCTTCGCCATTCCGTATACCCTACGAACACGCGTTGCTCAACGCCACTTGGGTGTTGCAATCCTGTCCGATCCGGCAACCGAACGGAATCCGCGCGATACGCGGCACAAGGGTTAAAGCGTTCGAGATCCACGAGGATCGCTTGGAACGCGATGGCTGTTCGATTTTGTAAATTCCTCGGTGATTAGCGACTCGAGGAAATGATAAAATTAAACGCGTACGCGTCGGCGATTACAAACGCACATTATTCTCGCTTTCCTCCTGGGAAAGTTAAGGCATCGAGCGTGTTAATTATAACGAACGTTAAGTAACCGGTGTATACGGGCGCTATTATCGTTTGTACCGAGGCAACAAAATCGCGCAGTCCTGCATCACATCGGGGAAAGCAGTTTACAGCTTGTTACTTATCGCGATGAAGTGCACTAATGCGGTAATGCACGAGAAATCCTATCGACCGGCAAATCTACCATGAATTGAACATAACGATGTTCGAAACGGTACAATGCAACGTCGTAATACATTTTTCGCAATTTTTCGCTTACACGATTTTTCGTGGTTACGCGCGCTTCTCCCAACCCCTACTTTTCGCGTCCTCTTTCCTTTTCCACCTTCTGCCGATGGCGATCGACCAACGGCGATGAAACGAAATCATTCCTACAGTTCGCACACCGTGAAACGCTCGTATCGCGATACAAGAAAATATAATCGTCCTCGCTATCCGATCTGCATCTCGCGATTTAAGGAATTCGTTTAACGCGAGGCGTGTGCTGGTGCTAATAAGCGGTAGCAAAACGTGGAATAGAGACGCGAAGAGGACGTTGAGTAACCGAATCGAGTAACTCTCGGTTAGACCCGAGGATTCGAGAGTACACGCTGCAACGTATATCCATATCGCATAGAGGAGAAAATAACGAGGGAAGAGTGGCAATTGCAACGCGCAACTATCGTTAGTTGCCGCCCGGTCGAGGCTATGGCTTCTTCACACGACAGGCCAATAAAACGTTTCCATGGGATATACGCGGCCTGTAAAATGCTAATCGCCGTGATTCCGACGGATTTTCGTGCGGATTTCACTCGCTGCTCTCGAGGAAACGCTTCTGCCTTCCTGCCCGCGATCAAACGATTCTCTCCTCATTGTGTCGGGGCGAGAGAGTGCACCGCGACGCTGACATAAATCGCGCTACGCGCGAAACTTAATTGCACCGTTATCGGAATAATTAGACCAACAATCGCGCGTCTTTGCACGTCTTTGCACGTTTTTGCACCGGTTGAATCGTTAATACCGCTCGCCCGAGGCTCCAAACCGACGACTGGCTTTGCCCCAGCCTTTTTCTTCCTTCCGTTTCCTCGCGACCGTCTCGATGAAAAGCCCCGATAACACCCGATGCTCGCGATAACAACGTACTTGTTACGAAAAGGAAAAAAAGTGGTACACGCGCGGAAGATCGTCGAACCCGTGGCTGAACATCCACGATCATCTTCGCGATACATTATCCTCGATTCCAAGCGTGAAATCACGAAACAGACTCTTCATCGGCAGAAGCGTTTTACCACGTGGTCGATATGCTCGTGTTAGGCATATGGTACCTCTCTCGAAACACCTGCGATAATTCGAAAGTAGCGCGAATAGCGCGACACGCGTTCGCGTAATCCGGAAGCAGCCGAACGATCGAAAGTTTCTAATTAAAATCATACCTGGCCGTCCACTCGAGCGCTTTTTTCTCTCTTTCCCATTTATTCCTCATTTTTTCCCGGCTTTTTCTTCGCTTCTCTCCCGCGAATCGTGTCTCCCGCGATTAGTCGCACGAAGGTGAACGTCGAGTCGGGAAAAGACGACGGATCGTGTTGGAAAAATGGCGATTCGGCGCGAGGAAAATCCGAAAGCGACCAGCGAAATACCGAAGGTAATGACTGGCAATAACGAACAGGAACGCGGGTTACGGTGTAAACGATTCGAAAAAATGGTTAACCGGCCGGAAATCGGTAATCGCCCGGAATAATCGGTTCCTTTTATATCTGCTTACGTTTTTTCAGTGGCGCATTAGTCGCGGGCACGAATTTTTCTACGTAAAAACGAAACACGAGGGTGGATACGCGGTTGGTCCCCGTGCAGTCGGCTCTTTTTCTTCGTCGTTCCTTCCTTTTTTTCCCGCCCGTCCCCTCCACCCTTTTCTGTCATATTAATCGGACTCAAGCTGCGCATATCCTCCGGTAATGAGAATTACACCCTTTCTTCGGCTTTCCTTTTTATTCGTTCGAAGCAATCTACGATTACTTCTTCGTCCACGAAACCCATTCGACGAATGAACGAACGGGATATCCTAATCGTACGGTTCATTATGAGCGTGTGCACGCTCGCGATGACTATGACTGATGCTAAGCCACGACGAATTGCGATGCACATTACGAATAAATATCGCACTCTTTGCCCCGTCTCGTCTAATGTGCCCGCTCACAGATTGCCACTTGGGTGGGTTTCGAAAATGCATCGGGACGAGACCGAGGGACATTACGTTTAATTAAATTTCACCGTGTCATGCGACGCTTACTGTTCTTTCGCCGATGAAAAACGCTTTATTCGGCACGCGGGCAATCGTTAAGGCAAATGAATCCGTTGCTCGAGGTTCGGCGAGCCGCGAACGTCGCGTCGGGGCCGGCTCGCCACGGCCATCTGGCTGATTTTCCAAAATATGCGGTCACGTCTGATAGAATCGTACACGCTCGGCGATTATTCCGCGTCACACGGGTAAATCGACGAACGCGACATTGCGCGAAGAGCGAATAAATCGACGTTTCGCGATGCCGCTGGAAATCCGGGGGTCTCGTCGAATCGCGAAGAACCGCGGGGGCTGGTCGCGACTAACCGGTTGATCGAACGTTGGAATGAAAAATTCGCGAATGTCGCGATCGCGGCGACGACGATTAATAGGATAGGTTGACCGATTAATGGAAAGTGGAAATCTATCACGGAAAATCGTAATTCCGAAGGATGCCGGCAGGAGAGGCAATTCAGGCGATTCCGAGCTCGCCATCTATCTTCCGGCGCGTTGGTAGCGAAGAAAGAAGGCATAATTAAATTAAATTAAGCCCGGCTGAGCTCTCGGCCTCCACCCCTTCCCTTCTTCGACGTTCTTCCCCCCCGCTTCTTCTTCGCTGTCCTACCAGCGGCGATAGTCGACGCCGCCTTTATTTGCAAGCAATTTGCGCTCGCGGATCGTGCTGCAAAAAATCTGAAAATAATGCTGCCGTATTAATCATATCCCTCCGCCCTTATTCCTCCCCTGCCTCTTTCGCTTCTGTCTCCCCTTCGTTCCGCGCGCCTCCGCGTACTCCGACATACTTACTTACGCCTCGTCCTCGCATATTTACGACCAAAAAACTCCACATCCGCGCACACTCGGCGTAGTAGCGCGATTTAGTGCACTGTTTAGTATGCTCCGCGAGTCTCTGATACGAACTGCGAGGAGCTAGGTATTTCGTCGAAATTATTTAATTACTTCATTTGGGAAGCGGTAGCTCAGGGACGTGACGCGAGAGATTCGTGTCTCGAAGTTTATTCCTTGGAAAGCATTTAAACATTCCGTATCTGAAACAGCGTGTATAT